TTGTAGTTAGATCTAGCCTTAGGGATGATCCATGTTGTCGCGTTAGTCATTAGTCTAAGTTCAGATAAATCTTTACCCGTAGTGTAACGTGAAAGGCATGTGAGTTTAGCCGAGAACTTTGATCGTTCTAGTATTTGGTCCCTTGATAGGTCACACATATGAAAACGTACCATATCATTGAGTATGAAGACGCTGTGGCCTTTTTGAAGTTCTGTGAAGTTAGCGTCGTTGTCATATGTAATTGTGGCTTGTTGCCATAAATTCTTTGTTTCCATAGTGAATCTGACGATCTTTTCAAATCTGAAAAGATTTTCTTAATTCTTACTTCCGTAGCGTCCAATGGTATTTCTATAACTTTGATTGATTGTTGTGACACAAATGGATGTTTTGGTATAATGTCAAGAGGCAAAAACGTGCAATTTTCTAAATTAGGTAACATGACCTTACAAAACGCGTCCCTTTCTTCTTTGTCGGAAAATGTCTCCTTAAGTATACTTTTTGATAGGTCTTCTGGGTGTTTGGCTAGGGTGACACTGGAGAAAGAATCAAATCTATCGAACACGAGGTCCGTGACGTCAGAAATTTTTGTTTAGGGGGATTTACCAGGGTAGTCGTCTGTTGGAAAGAAAGCGAAAAATTTTGTCTTTTTTGTTGAAATGTCTTGAGGGCTCTTTTTGTTGTTCAAGAAATTTTCGGAGGCGTCGTTGGCGTTGTCGATGTTCATTTCACTTTGTTCTACAGTGACAACTAAGGTTGTTTCACTTTGTAAAACTTCTTTACCCTTTCCTTTATCGAGCGGAAGAGGGTCGACGTCCATAAGTGGAGTTTCGTTGTTGTTGATATTGGTAGACATACTGCTTTCGGGTTCAACAGTTTGTAAGGTGTTTTGTTTTTTCTTTAGTTGTTGCTCTGGAGTACCAGGGCGAGAGCGAGGTTGTTATTTTTGTTGATTTTTGTTGTTCTTTTTCTTTGGTCTTGGCATGGTAGCAGAAAGAGTTTTCTTAAAATTTTAAAAAAATAAAATAAACAAAAAAAAATAAACAAACAAACAATATTTAAGTTTAAATGATCAGGTGTAATGTGAACTAATCACATGATTGAACAATATAAATAATATAAAATAAATAGAAATAATATATAATATAGAAGAAATAAATAGTATAAATAACACAGAAATATATAAGATATAAAAGATTTCTTAGGGATTGTTGATTTCTTTTAAATCATTATCATCAATATCTTCTCTTGTATAATAATATTAAATAAATAAAAATAAAATTTTTTTTTAATAATAAGTATTAAAATAATATTAAAATAATATATATTTATATATTTAAACTTGAAAAATATTTTTAATTTTTTAAATCAAAATTTTAATAATAATATTATTTATTTATATTTTTAATTTAAATATAAATTCAAATTTTTATTGATTTATTTTATAACTTTTTAAAAAAAAATTTTATAATTTATTAATTATTAAATTTAATTAGATTATATTATTACTATTTTATTTACTTTATTAATAAACTAATAAATTAATTAAAAAAGTTTAAATAAAATAATATAAATAAAAATTTTATTTTTAATAAAATTTTATTTTTATTTTTTAATATATAAAATATTTAGTACATATTTTTTTAAGTAATATCTATTCATATATAAAATGTTTAAACATTATGTAAAAATATAAAAAAGTGATAAATAATATCTTTTAATATAAAATTTTTCTAAATTCTTTAATTAAATTGAAATATAATAGAATGTAATATAATAGAATAACTTAATATATATATCTAATATTAAATTAATTAAAATATTATATAATTTTATATAATAAGTTTATATATATTATATTTTATATTTTATATACCTAAGAAATTTTTTTTATTTAAATTAATTTTTAAAAAAAAATATTAATAAGTATATAAATTTATTTTAAAAATTAGTTTATTATTATTTAATATATTTAAATTATTTAAATTAAAATTATTATAAATATTAATTTAATTATATTAACTTATTTTTTTTTTATTAATTTTTTAATAATATTTTATATTATAATAAAACTTTAATTTATATTATTTAAAATATAAAATTTTAAAACTTATTTTAATAAAATTATTTAAAATTAGCTTTTTAAAATTGTATTTATTTTATATTAATAATGTTAAAAAATAGTATTATAAAAAATGATTTACAATATTATTAAATTTAATTTTATATAGATTATAATAAATAAAATATTATTTAAAATATTACATCAAATTAATTAATATATTATATTTAAAATTAGATTATTCATCAAATTTATAAGATTACTAAATTTATCTATTTTGAATTTTTTAGATATTTATTATTTTCATTATAATTATTAATTCCTTTATTTATTATATTTTATTATATTTTATTACTTTTATTTTATTTTATATAATTATTATATTTTTTATATTTTATTTTATTTTACTTTATAAATTTAGTTAATTTATAATTTAATATAGTTAGCTATAGTAAAGTAATTTTATATAAATTATCTAATTTTGTTAAAAATTAAATTAAATTTTAATAGTTTAAAACTTTTTTATAAATTTAAGAAATAAAGAAAAAATTAAATTAAAATTTTTACATATACTTTTTCTTTCAAGATATTTCTTATCTAAAATTTAATTATAAATTATTTTTTCAACTTATTTTAAAATATGTTATTAATTAAATAAGATCTTAAATTTTAAATAATATTAATAATAAAATTAATTTAAAAATTTCAAAAATTAAGAATTTTTTTTTAAGATTATAATTTTAATAAATTAAATCAATTATTTCAAATTTTTTAAATACTTAAAATATAAAAATAAATCTAATGATAATATATATTAGGGAATAGAGACTATTGTTAAGTCTAAAATGATCTTAACTGAAAAAATATTGAAAAAGTTAATGAGCATTAATTCAAGCTACAAACGTGTGAATATCAAAATATTTTATTATTTAGTTCTATATAGTCTTTTGTTTTACTCTATACTAATAAAATAAAATTAATTTTTTTAATAATTTTTTATTTTTTATTATAATATATAAAATTTTAATTTTTTAAAGATCCTTTAAATCATAAATGTTAAAATATAATAATAATCTATTAAATTTTCTATCAATTTTATTTATAAATTTGTTAACTTTATTTTTAATAAAGTTTAAATTAATATTTATAATTTATATTTAAATTAGTATATAGAATATTTATTAATTATCTAACTTATTTTAAGTTATAAACTAAATTTTACAAAATTTTATAATAAAAAAATTATAAAAATAAGTAAATAAATAGGCGTTTTATAGTAGAAAGGGAGAAAACTACCAAAAAAAATTTTTTTAAGTTAATGTTAAATCTGGATTTATTTTACTAAAAAAATAATATTTAGTTTAAAAAATAAAAAAAAATTTTTTTGGTAGTTTTCTTTCTTCTACTGTAAAGTGTCCAAATATAGATTTAATAATAATTTAAAAAATTTCTTATTTAAATTTTTTATATTTTATTATAAAATACCTATATAAATTATAATTTATAAAATTCATATTTTATAAATTATTTTATTATATTTATATTATTTATTATTAAAAAAATTTATTATTAAAAAATTATTTTTATTTAAAAATTTTATATTTATAATTAATAATATTATTTAAAATATAGAATTTGATTTAATAAAATTAAATTATATAATAAAATATACTTCTTAAATTGAGAATAGGTATATTACTTATAAATATATAAAAAATATTAATTTTAATAATATAATTATTATATAAAAAATATAATTTAATATATATTTATTAATTAATTAGAAAATATTTTAAGTTTATTAAGAAGTTTTTAAAATAATTAAATTTAAATTAAATTTTAAAATTTATTATTTTATAAAATTTTTTTAAATTTGCAAACTAATTAAATTACTTTATTACTAATAAAAATCATAAAATTTTAATTTAAATATTATAATAATTAAAGTTATTTTTTATGATCAATTTATAATATTTATTATAATTAATATTATTAAAAATAAATTTTAATAAGTTTGTTAAAATTAATAATAAAAATTTTAATATAAAATTTTTAGTTTATAAATAAATTTAAACTTTTTATTATGTAATTAAAAAATAAAAATATTATAATTAATTATAAAATATTTTTTAAAATATTTTTTAATTTTTCATATTTAAAAAATAATAAACTTAATTAATTAAATATAAAATTTAAAATTAGTTAAATTAATTATAAAATTTCATTATTAATTATTTAATAAAAAAAAGTTTTTATAAAATTAATCATTTTTTAATTAAACTTTATTGTAAAATGTATATAAATAATTATATAATAACTATAGATAAAAGTGAAACCTTTTAATAATAATAAAAATTTAGATAAAATTAAATTAAATTTGTAATAAGGGATATGATAAAACCCTTTTGATATAATAAAAGTTAAACTGTTAATATTATATTTAAAATATAGAAAAGAGTATAATAAAATTATTTTAAGAAAATTTTATATAATAATAATATACTAAATTTAAACTTTACTATCTATAAAAAGTAAAGGTTAAAAGCAAGATGATAAAATTAAAGTTTTTTAAAATAAAATATATTAAATTTAAGAATATTTTTTGAACTTTACTATTAATTACTGATGATAATTATCACTAATATTATAAATTTCTTTTTTTAAATGTTTATGTAATTTTTATTTAAATTTTTGCTAAAATTAAAATTGTTTTTTTAAAATTATATAATTATCCAATCTTCCAAAAGGTATTTTAGCTAAATTAGGATGTGATGAATAACATGTGACAAAATATAATTTTAAAATCAAAAAAATTCTAAATTTCTAAAATATATAATAAAAATAAAATATAAAAGGTATAACATAAGATAACAAATTATTCATATATAAAAATTATATAAAACTAGTAATGATTATCATTAGTGATAAAAAGTATTTTCTGTTTTATTTTTAAAGAATTATTTAAAAGAAAAGAGTATATAATTAATATAATTATAATTATTAACAAAATAAAAATTATAAAATAATAATTTAAAAAAATAAAAATATGTAATTTTAAAAAAATAATATATAATTTTAAAATTAGACACTTTTATATAAATATATTTTCTTATAATCATCTATTTTAATAATCTCATAAACTGTAACTATAAGAAATAATAATTATATTAAGTTATTATAAATAAAAATTAAATTTAATGATTATATAATAAATTAATTAACAATGTAAAAGAATTTTAAAATTATAATAGTGTTTATTTTATAGAATTTATTTATTATCTAAATAAATTTTGAAATTTTCATTTAATTTTAATATATATTATTCAGAAATTTATATTAATTTTAAAAAATATAAAATTATTATCATTTAATAATATAATTTTAATAAACTAAATTTATTTATTTATAATTATTAGATATTAAATTATTTTTAAAAATTTAAAAATTTAAATTGATAAGGTCTTTATTTTTCTTTAATTGAATAAAAATTATTTACATTAAATATATATAAAAAATTACTCTAGTAAAAAAATATAAATAAAGCATTAATATAATAATTATTATTAAGATAACATATATATTTATTATGTAATATATTTACATTTGTTCAGAAAAATTCTTTTATACTTGATTTGTAATTTCATGTAATTTTTATTTTATGTAAATCAACTATTTTTGTGTATACTAATATTCCAATTTTATGTATTACATTTATTGCTTCATTAGTTGATTCAGTTGAATCTAAAAATAATCTAATATTTAATATAAACACATTAGCAAATATATTTTATTGTGTCTTTTTAATCCTATAAATAAATGCTTTATTAGAAATATTCTTAATTAAACAAGTAAAAAAATTTTCATTTTTATTTTATTAAATGTCTGTAATATTTAACTGTAAGTCTTCCTACATAAAAATAAGAAGAAAAAAAAATTTTTTTTAAGAATAATTCATAAATTTCAAGTGTCTTATATATATATTGATTTTAAAATTTAAAAATACTACTATTATATATATCTTTAAATAATAAATTTAATATATTTATTAAAATCATTAAATTATAAATAATTATCTTTTTGTAAAAAAATATTTTTTTATAATAAAATAATTTTTTTTTATAAAAAGATTGATTTATTATTGCAAAAAAACTAATAATTATATTAACTAAAAAAATAAAAACTGTTAAAGTCTATAATTATAAAAGCAAAATTAATTAATGTTACAAAAAAATTAGCATAAGTAGAAATTGATTAAAATAAAAGGAATTTGAGATGAAAATGTAAATAAAAAAAAGAAAATATATAAAATTATTTTGAATAATTATATTAATTATAAATCTTAGTATTTTAATTAATTTATTAAATAATAATAAAATATTATATATATTTAATATTAAAAAATATGTATTTTACACTAGAAAATCAAAAAAAAAATTTTATTACTTTATAAATTAAATATAATTTTTTTTAGTAATAAGTTCAAATTTAATAATAATTCAAAAAAATTTTTAAAGATTCTTTTCTTTTTTCTTTTTATTGTAAAACGTTTATATTATTAAAAATATTAGTAAAGTAAATATATTTGAAAAATTCAAATATTTATTCATTTATAAATATTTTATATAATATATTATATTTATATAAAATCAATAATCAATTATTAAAATCAATTACTTATTATATCTTTTCCTTAAATCTTTAAAAACTAAAATATAATAATTTTATATATTTTTTAATTTTTACAAGCACAATTTTTATAGTAGACAAATTAATTTATCAATATATTAATAAAAAAAAACAAATTTTTAAATCCATTTTTTTTATTGTTTATGATTGTGAAAATACAATCTGAGACAATGAAAATCTAAATGCTTCAACAAGACTTTTTTATTTGGTACCAACTTCGATATTCTATCAATTATGTACAGGACGTTTACATCTTTGTCGATAAACACAGTACTGCTTCATTATCATTAATTATCTTAACTTCCTTTTCGTTGGTAAATCTTATCATATGGATCGTAAATTGATGCGCAATTCTTATTCTCGAAAAAAGTCAATCGTATACGTGATAACACCTGAGACTGATGAATTTTCATATTGTCTTGGAAACTTTCAATTATTTGATGGATTTGTACATCTTAGCGACCACTCTATTACAAACCATCAGCGAGACATTGTCCGCCTGATCAACCAACACCACCATCCCACGTGACCCCATCACAAAACTTTATCAATATTATTAAAGACATAATCCTTTTATTTATTTCCAAAATCACACATGACATGTGTAGAATCTTGAAGGAAAAATGTCTAATAGGTATAAGCCGCGATAATAATAATATTGTACAATACCAAATTATCACTACGATATCCATTTGATGGTTTCTGTTTCTTAAATTTTACTATATACGGGATAAGCAAATAAAAATTTTAACGATGCACATTTTCCATCGTCCATCTCGCATCGTCCCATCGTCAAAAAACAAGGATAGACTTTAAACACAAGTCAAAATATCAATGATTTCAAAATAAATGAATTTATTTTAGAATCAAAAACATCACTATTACTTCTTTTCTACACTAAAGGCTTCAATTTCTTCAATGGGCAGAGTACAATTAACATTATTCCGAATACTACAGTAAGTTACATTTTTACGTAAATAAAGTTTTTGTCTCTCTTCAATATATAAACAATCACCAAAATTAATGAAATAACCATCGCGATGCTCATAAATAGATTTATTTACATTAATTACTCTACTCATTTTCATATTATGCGAATCTTGATCATTTTCAAAAGAGAAAATAAAGCTGTCCGAGGAATTTAACCATTTTCCGTCTCTTAATTCATAACCGATCGGATTATACCCTCCATAGATTTCTTTTGATTGAACCTTTATCAATACAACGAACGGTCCTTGCTTATTACATTTAATATTAAATGTATTACAATTAAAACCATCCCGAGTGCTTGAGTAAATCAAATTGAACCTATATCTATTATTAGATGAAAAAACATTTGAATCATTTTTCTCGATCCAATTAGAAATAATAGTCACAAGCTTTGGTTTAATTATTGATGATTCTAAATTTTCTACGCGAGTCGGCAAAAGTGTTGGTTTGAAAGATTTTTTATAATGATATTCTTCTATTTGTTCATAAATCTGATAAGAAATTGCGGCTTTATAAGGACGTACTTTATCAAAGAAATCAGCGGGAGGAATTTCCGCAAATCGAATGAGGGGAATGAATGGATCCAGCGTTTCCTGCAATGCTTCAAATTTCTCTTGATCCCACTCGGCAATATTACTATTCTTTATTCCCAATTCAGGAGTCCATTGAATGCTCCACTCGATTAAACGATCCCAAGCATCAATCTCCTTAATAAGTAAATCATCTCTTTTAAGCAAATCAAAAAAGATGTCTTTATCTAGCAACGGTAAGATTTTCGAGGTGAGCAATGTTTGTGGGAATTCACAGATTAAATCAAGACAAAAATCTTTCAGTTTCTTGCAGCAAGTAATTTTAGTTGAGGTATGAAAAACTGAAGTAAAGTTCTGTAGAATCCAACAATCTTGATTTGAAATCAAATGATCTTGAACATGTTTGAAAATTTCTTCAAACAATAATTCATCAGATGCGATTAATAATCCTAGGGTATCTTCACCTGAAAGATTTTCTAGATCAAGTTCGCCTGTGTAAACGTACCTTGAAGAAAAGAAAATTTTTATAAGTTTTTTTTTTTTTCAAAAAAAAAAAAATAATAATAATAATAATAATAATTTTAACCCACTTTAAAATAACTTCAAAAATTGTTGGATCAATATTTGGTTTATTAAACATGATCATATTGCAATTCGTATCCTTTTGAATCCACTCAGCCGAAAACGCGCCTTTAAAATATCGTGAACGTGCCCGTAAAATAACTGTGTGTGCACGAAATTCTTTCACATTTTGACCTTCACCAACTTGAATAATAACGTTAAAATCGTCAGGGTCGTCTAATAGTAAAGAAAGATCTTTTGAAAGACCGGAATGTAAAATTGAAGTCATCATGAAAGAACTTGAGAAAATGTACGCGTTCAATTTTTGACTAAAAAAATAAACTATAATAAACAAGCTATAAACCTGTATAATTATAAAATTAGAATTCGTACGTCCCGAATATATTGTGCTTTAAAATACTTTTTGGTAATGATCGGCACATGTGTCACATTTAAGGTTGCTTGTCTAAACCTTTAGTTTCGCTAAGGTTTATAATTCCGCCATTTTTATAAGCTTTGATTTAGTTTTACCTTTTCTTGAGTTTTGCAAATTTTTTACTAAATTTTACCTTTACCATTTAGAAGATTTGCAAGACCTCTAGGTTTCGTCTAGCAATCTCAGCCACATGCAATTTTTCTACGAAAAGATTTCCTTTCGAAACTACTTTACAGAAACTTGGTTTTCTTAATACGCATTAACTGCAATGTTACTATAATAAATATATAATTACTACCTTACTTAGTAGTAACTTAACCGCAGCATAATAGGTACTTGCATAGAAAGGAAACAAAGTTTCTGTAATGTATACCTTAATAAACTTAGCTTGAACTTGCATGTTGGTGTATTTTTGCTCGTTCTGAAGTTTACATGTACTTTGAACAATAAATGAGGTTTGAGTTGTATGATCCAAATACATTAACTATATAATCGGTGTAACCTCAGAATGCTCACGAGTTACGTAATCATTTTCATGTAGGTAAATTTATTAAAATCTGTTCTGATTGGTCCGCCCATCCCTGCTTGTTTAAGAAAAATATATTAAAAAGAAATAGATCGATCAAGGATTACGTATTTTTACGTCAAAAATGAGTCGTACAATGACTAAACATATAATGTATTGTAAATAAATAGATTATATAATTCTGATTTTTTTTTAAAATATTTTCTCGCGGATTTATAAAATAATCCTTAACGTTAATCTTTACTGTAGAAAAAAAAAATAAAATAAAATAAAACCTAATGACGTTATTGTTTGAGTTTTTTCCTAAATTGACGCAAAATCTTTCTCATTTGCTTGAAGATGTAGACGATTCTGATGTCATCATCAAAGTTGGAGAAAGTTCAGTTAAAGAATTTCATGCACACTCTAATATCTTGAGAGCTCGATCACTTTACTTTAATCGCGCGCTCTCAAAGAACTGGGTTACGAAGAATGGTGACCAAGATTTACCTTACTATACCTAATACTACTCCTACCATTTTTGGTATGATTATCAGGTATTAACCTTTATCTACGACGCCCATTTATCAATTTTTGAAATAATAATTTGAATTATTCTTTTGATTCGTTGGTTTTAGGTATTTGTATACTGGAATTCTTGATTTGAATAATAAAACTGGCAATGATATTCTTGATCTTCTTGTGATATCCGATGAATTACTCCTTGAGGAATTGGTTGCTTTTACACACAAAAGTATTTGATTGAAAATAAATCTGAATGGTTACAACAGCAACAAAATTTTATCAACGTTATCAACATGGCATTTCAATTAGAAAATTGCATTCAACTTCAAGATCACTTTTTAGAGATTATCCGTGTAGATCCCGAATCTTTTTTGCGTTCAAATTATTCATCGCTGAACGAGAGTGTTATATTTGGATTACTTAAAAGGGAGGATTTACTTATTAGCGAAGTTGAATTGTGGAATTACCTTATTCGATGGGGAATCTCTAAAACCTCGGAATTGAACGAACATGACATGATTGATTTAAGCGGTTGGAATGAAAGGGATTTCATCGTATTGAAAAATTCTTTGAATCAATTTATTGAGCATATTCGATTCTTCGAAATCTCTTCAAAAGAGTTTAATGATAATATTCGACCTTTTAAGAAAGTTTTACCTGAAGCATTATTTGAAGATATTTTGTCATTTTATTTGGCAAATGCTAAACCTAGACAAAAGATACCAGCTCCTCGTGGTGGAAAAGTTGAAATTTTTTCAACCCTCATTAATTCGAAACAAGCAGCCATTCTTGCCAGTTGGATCCATAGGATAAAAACCAATAAAAGAAATCTAGAAGATTATAAGTATTCTTTTGATCTTATCTATCGTGAAAAGGAAAATTATGATATCTTCGATATTCGTAAGAAATGTAATGAACAAACAGCATGTATTTTGTTTATTCAAATTCAAGAAAAAGATACTATAATTGGTGGATATATGCCAGTTGGTTGGAATACTTTTTCACAAACACCTCGGTTAGCTACAGACAGAAATCGGCAAGAAAATTGGGTTAACACTAGTGAAAGTTTTATTTTTTCTTCATGCGATGGAAGTAGAAAGGATTTTAAAAATTTTACGATCAGCCGAGTCGTAAATCGCAATAAAGCGATTTGTTTGACCAATGCATTGAACTTTGGTAATAGCGATTTGGTCATTTATAATAATAATCAAGGCACATACGTTAGAAAATATTATGAAAATAGCATTTTGAATATAGATAGATTTACTATCCAAAAAATAGAGATTTTTAAAGTTTTATACAATGCTTGACATGTTAATGTCAATGTTCTTTAATGATTTCACCACCTTTCTTTTATTTATTTGATCATTTAAAAACATGTAATAATCAAACAGAAAGGTTTAATGCCAAATTAATAATAATTTTATTTTAATGATTGAAGGTCATAACATAAGAATACACATAACATATTATAACAGATTCACAGTTAATACGTCCTTAGGTAAATTAAAAAACAATAAAAAGTATTCTTTTGACTAAAAAACTTTATTTCGGGATTTTGTTAAATTTAATTTTGAATTCTTGCAGTTTCGATTAAAATTTTTTATAAATTTATGAATTTCGTTTGCACTATAATCCTTAATAATTCGAGAGTCGATATCAATTAATATTATTTAATAGAATTTACACCAGGAATTTCAACAACAAAATAAACTTATACAAATCAATTGAATTTGTGGTAGGCTGTTATGTTAGAAATTATATCTGATAATCGATGATGATTTATTTGAATATTTATGCTCGTAATTTTTATTAAATTTACGTTTTCTTATGATGATTATTGTTATTATGTAATATATATAAATAAATTAATTTATGAAATTTCGTCATCTTGGCGTCAATAAAGAAAATAGACTCTAAATTTTTTAATTATATATATCAGCAAATTGTAATAAAAATTCTTAGAACTTTTCATTTAACTTGTATATTTCGGTTTTTTTTTCCTTTCTTTTTTCAAATGGTTTCAAAATTCCATACCGGCCTTTCACAAGATCTCTCATTAATGTTAAAAGTTGCAGAGGATTATAATATTATTATTAAAGTTGGTGAGAATCAAGAGTTTCATGCACATTCAAATATCCTGAGAGCTCGTTCACCTTATTTCAAAAGTACACTTTCGACCAATTGGAATAATACAATGGATAATAATGTGATTGAGATCATAAAACCAAATATTCATCCTACCGTTTTCGAGATCATCCTCAAGTATGTAAATTTCTAATCAAAGAAATTTATTATTTTTTTTTTTAAAAATTTCGATATAATTAATTTTTCAACCCTAAAAATAGGTATATTTATATTGGCGAAGTGGATTTAACCAAAAATTCAGGTGAAGATATCCTTGGTCTCTTAGTCGCTTCTTATGAGCTGCTTCTCGAAGAATTGTTTAAACATGTTCAAAATTATTTAATTGAAAAAAAAAATTTATGGTTAAACCAAAATCTCGTTCTTGTACTTCACACGGTTTTTAAACTTGCTAGTTGCAAGAAACTTCAAGATTACTGCCTTGATTCCATCTGCGCAGATCCTTTACCATTTTTCACTTCAAATGAATTTCCATCACTTGAAAAAGATATTCTTCATAGCTTGCTTAAACGTGACGACTTACAGATTGAAGAATCTGTTGCTTGGGATCATTTAATTAAATGGGGCGTCAATCAAACTCCTTGTTTGGGAAGTTCGAATAGCGATAGAGCTAAGTGGGATGACAAATGTTACGAAGCGTTGAAACAAACCTTAGAGCAATATATTCCTCTTATTCGATTTTTAGATATCAGCTCTGCGGATTTTTTTGATAAAGTCCGTCCTTATAAATCTGTTCTTCCTCATCAAATTTTCGAAGAAGCTATGGAATTTTACATGAAACAAACTTTACCAAAAACGACAGCCTTAGCATCACGTTCTGGCAAAGAAATTAAATCAAATCTCATCAAACAAAAGCTCGCTGATACAATCGTTAGTTGGATCGAAAAAAAAAAAGGAAAAACCCCTATATTCGATAAAAGATATAAATTCGAACTTCTTTATCGTAGTAGTCGAGATGGACTCAATGATCAATCATTTGGTAAAATGTGTAATGTTCAAGATCCATTTATAGTTTTAGTCAAACAAAAATCTTCGGAAAAAATTTATGGAGGATATAATCCACTCGGTTTTCGTAATGGAAGTAAATGTTTTGCAAGTGAAAGTTTTATATTTTCTTTTGCAAATGACAAGGATATTACAAATATGAATGTATGTCATTTGAAATACCCTCCCCTCAGGGAAAAATGCAAAAGGACAGGTTGGCCATACGACAACTATTCGAAGGTAACAAGGAGATACGACACGGAAGATGATGAATGCGATTATACAGATGATAATACAAATAGATTTAATTTTGGCAATACGTTTTATATGAATGGTCAATATGTTTATTTAATTAAAAACTCTGGCTTTTATGATGTAAATTTTACAAATTCAACGAAAACTAAATTTATCCCGGAGGAAATTGAAGTCTTTAAAGTGAAAAATATATTTAATTAAGTATCGCTGGAAATTTCATTTGAAACAACGCGTGGAAAATTTTAAATATTTCAGAAAATTATTAGTTTATAAATAAAAATTAATTTTTTTTCAAATCTAAAAATTTATCTTCTATTAACATTAATTTTTTTTCATTATTAGTTAATATATTTTTTTATTTTTAATTTTATTAAAGATTTTAATGAAAATTATTACGTATTACCGGTGTGATCATCACCGATGTCACGTAACCTATATTTGTCACCTGTGTCACCTCCCCTGTCTTTCAACTTTACTATTATTTCAGAAACTTTGAATTTTTTACTAAGAAACTTTTAATTGTTTTTCTGTTTTTATGCTAAAGATATTTACATTATATTAGATATTTATTAAAAGATTCATGTAATAAAAACCATTAAGAATTAAATTAAAATCCAAAAATAATTATATTTTTACACTTATATTCTCTTATTATTATTAAAAAAAGTTTTATTTGATGCTATATATTAAATTTATTTATAATAATAATTTTGAAGATAAAATAATAATAAAATTTAATATCTAAGAATTAATATAATGAAATTTTAATAAATAATGATAATATTAAATAAGATATATTATATTTTATATTATAAGAATTAAAAAATAGTTTATCTTCAAAAAAGAAAACTTTATATTTTTAAAAAAAATAAAATAAAAATATTAATAATAAAAATTTTTTTTTTTCTGATAATTTTTAAAATATTAAGTAATTACTAAATTATTATAATATTATAATAATTTTAAAAATTAACTTATCTAAATACTAATCTATTTTTTTATAATAAAATTCTAAATATAATTATTTTTTTTAATAATAGTTCACTTTTAATCTGAAAATATTTTTGAATAGTTATACCTTTAATTTTATTTATATATCCTTACTTATATATAAAGTATTAATAATATTTATAATAGATAAACTATATTTCAATACAAATTGATAATTTATTAATTAAATTATATTTTAATAAACATAATTATTTTATTAATAATTATAATAAATATTGAATTGATATAATTAATTTTGATATCATCAAAATTAATTAATGCTAAAATATAAAATAAACTATTAATATGAAAATAAATATTTATATTAATAAATATTTGTTAAAATATGTGATAAAATAACTTAAAATTAGTAAATCATCAAAATTAGCTAAACTTAACTTAATCAATTGGCATATATCAAGTATCAGCTAATTATTTTATATATTTTATTTATAGATAATTGATATATTATTTATAACTGATTAACATATATTGAAAATTAGCTAAAATATTACTAGTAAAAATCAAAAAAATTGGACATATAATAAATTGGCTTAAAATTAGTCTAAATCAGCAAATTATCAAAAATTAACTTAAATAATTAGCATATATTAAAAATTGGTCAAAAATTGGTCAAAATTTAAATAACTTACTTATAACTGATTGGCATACTTAAGCTGTTCAAATCCAATCATTTGTTTAATATAATCCTTTCATATTGGACAAATAAAAAATAGTTGAATAACATATATTTTATTAATTTGATTAGTTCAATTTATCATATGATTTACCATTAGATAAACCATATTTTACCATTAAATCAACTGTATTTTACCATTAAATCAATCGTATTTTATATTAGATTGATCATAATTTTTTATTAATATATAAATGATTCACTTTTTTAATGTTATATTAAAATCCTATTATACAATAGATTTTTTGTTATATGTATATTTAAAAAGATAAAATAATTATTTCAGATAAGGTTATAAAATTATTACTTATAAATTATTAACAGTTTCATAATACTTTTAATATAGCAATAAATAACTAGTTTAAAAGTTTAGAGGGTATTCAGGTATTTTTAAAAAGCCTTTGAAAAAATAGATTTATGTTGAAAAAGGACTATAAAATGATATATTTATATTATTTAAGTTCAAATTTATACATACTAAATTTATTTTAAAAACAATAAAACTTTATAGTTCAAAAAAGATTAAATATATTTGATTTTATTATAAATACTTTACAAAGTATTTGTATTTTAGAATAAAAAAAGAAGATATTTATAATAAATTACTTTATAATGATATCATTAAATTATTTTAAGGTAAAGTGATTAGATAGAAAAATAAACACAAAATACTTTAGGAAAGATTTTTTTAAGTGTTTAATTGCAATATTACTATGATATATAAATTTATATTATACTAAATTTACAGAACTATCACTTTTATTTAAAGAATTATTTAATGAATTATATTAATATTAAAAAAATAAAATTTTCAATATTTATTATTTTACTGAAAAGCATATTAAATATAATCTGATATAGAATAAGCTTGAAAAACTAGTTTCTTTATTAAAATTATCAATAATAATTATTGACAGTTAGTAAAATATGAAAAATATTATTAAAAAAGTTGTTGTCTTAATATCTTTAATATAAAAATATGCAAATATCTTGAAGCAAATTAGCGAATATATATAATAAATATATTAAATAATATATCAGCATGTAGTTAGCTATTGATTTAAAGATATATATAATTAATTCTTATTAAAAAATTAATGCATAATATCAATAACTTTAAAAATCTTTAACTAATATAATTAAACTAATATAACTAATTATACCAAAATTAATTGAAAAGCTTTTATCTAAAGATGTAATATAATAATACTATTATATTAAAGATCTTAAGATGCAATTTTCAGTTACTTTATATCAGTATTATTAAGGCAATTACCTTAGCATCCTTAACTATATTTGAAAGCTTTTAATTAATCTTAAAAAATGATCAGAAATTAAATAAGTACATTAATAACTATTTAAGAAAAATTGTCACAATTTTTTAGTTAATAAATATGAAATAATAAATTAAAAAAAGTATTGTAAATATTATTTGTATTATACTTAAAAATATATATTCTAAAATAAATATATTAATATTTATATATAATTTTTAGTATTTATTAATTAAGAATATTATACCTGTTATTTTTATATGTTTTATATTATAATTTAATTAATAATGCTATTATAACTACAAATAATATTTATAAAAAGCTAGAAAAATAGTTTGATTTATATTATTAATGGAAAATCTATCAATTATATGTGATTTATATTAAAATAATAGATTTTAAAAAATAAAGTTTAATAATTTTTAAGATAAAATAGGAATTTATTTTAATGGGATAATTTATTTTCTTGATTACTTTTTATTTTCAATTAATATTTAAAATAATTGTATTTATTTATTTTATACTTTTAAGAATTTATTAATAGTTAATGATCAGAGATATGAAAATATTCTTTATATACTATTAGCTATTTCAATATGTAATCTCTGTAAAATAATTATTAAATGGTTAAATTTATATTTAAAACCATTTTAATTTTAAGTAAAGAATAAATACATTTATAATTTTAACTAACAAATCTGATAATAAAAAATGCTAAACAATATATTAGACATTTTGATATTAAATTTATGGTTTAAATAAAACAGCTTTATAAAGACTCATCCAGATATATACTATATAATTCTTTTTAATATTTATGAAAATTTGCAATTTTGTATTAACAGAATACTTTATTTATATATGTAAATAATAAACATAAGGTTTTATTAGAGAAGATATCAATATTTTTACTAGTATTCGCAATAGAAAAACTAAATTTTTTAAGAAACTTCTTTAGTTATATGTAATTATAATTTCACAAAATTATCTCTTACACCTTTAGTAATATTTTTTTTGTAGTATTTTCCAATATATTAAAGATACTTTTTATAGTAGAAAAGTATTTATTTCATTTAAAAATATAGTATTTTAACTTAATAGTATTATTAAATATACTGCTAAATCTTATAATGTAATTTTTATATATTATCTTTATAATATTCCTCTAATTCTTTGTTTTTATACTAATGGTAATTTAGATTATAATAATATTTAGTTTAGTTCAAATTTCTCTTATTTGTCTTTTTTATATAAGATTTTAATATGCTTATTATTATATGCATAGTATTTTATTATAATTAGACTAATCAATATTACTAAATTTATTTTTCCAAAGCTCAATATTACAAACACTAGCATCATCACCAATCTTACAATAAAATCTTATTTTATATTTAGATACTGGATTGTACCATTTTATAAATACCAATTTATGATTTACTTTTTTATTTGAAAGTATAACTTCGTATTCAAAGTAATACTAAACTTGGATAGAATAACTTTAGCTACATTGTTAGATTAAATAAATTTAGTAAGAATAAATAAATTCTTATAAAATTGAAATGCAATTGCTACTCTAAAATTCTTTGATCTAATCTAAATTTGTTTAAACTGGTTAGTTATTGATCAAATATTATTTAGTTAATTGAATATTACTATAATCCATTTTTTATCAATTTAGCGATAGTAAATTTAAATTATATGCATTATTATAGTAATCTTCTAAAAGATCATATATATTATCTGGCAGATTTACTTCAAGTTCTATTGGCATCATTATCTCTTTAGGGAACAGTTCGCCATTAGTTATTATTTTTTTAACTTTAATATTGTAGATCAATATAAAATGATATAATTCATCATTTTGAAAGTTATCATATGTCACTAAATTTCCTGTTATTAGCTTAGGTTTTACTAATTTTAATCCTTTCATTAGTGTTAAGTTATTTGATTGATTACTAGATACTATACATAATATATGTAATAATTCTGATTTAATTTGGCAATTTGAATTTGAAAATAAGCCTGATTTTTAAATAATAATAAAATTGGTTAGCATTTATTTGTATAATAATATATTATTTAATATCAAATAAATTATCTAATATCTTATTCATTTTTCAAATAAATAATACTAAAAGAAATATATTAGGCCATAATCTTAGCAACATTCTAAAATGTGAAAAGACAAATGGATATTTGAAGATATCACTATCAGTTTATAATTGTCTTCAATTAAGTGAGCAACTTTTAATAATTGATTATATGCTTCATTTAATTTATCTTTATTGATAATTCTAGATATTAGCAGATAATACATTCTGATAAAATTGATCAAAATTTCTTAATTAAAATTATCATCTAAAAGATCTTATATAATCAGAGTGATATAAATCATGATAAATAGTTTTTATTGATCAGCCATAAAGCTAGAAAAACCTTTTCTAATAGAAATCTTATATGGAATGCAGCCTAGATCAGTAGATAGTTTGCTTATCTTTGTATGAATTTCTACTAGTTTAAGGTCAGATTTAGTAATTTTTCTCTTATTGATCTATAACCTTTTAATAATCTAATAAATTATTTCTAAAAATAAACAATACATCAAATTTACAATTAAATGCTTAATTAGATTGTGATATAATAAATAGAATAATTCAAACTAGTAAACAAGAATTCTACTAACATTCTTTTTCTGATCATCCTTAGTTTGCTAGTGTTTTCAGATAATTACATTAGTTTAATGCTTTTCTGAATCCTTTATTTTGAACCAGTTAAACATATTATTATTAAAGCTGCTAAAATTCAACCTTTGATCCTCTTCTTTACTGATCTTTTTGTAATATTTGTAGCATCCAACCAATGCAGATATATGACTACATAATTTCTTGTTGCAGGTATGACATTACTACAATAGATTATGGTCAGTCCTATTTTCTTTAAGTTGTTAGCAAATTGCAATTATTTTACATTTCTAGTAATTTATTAATTATTAGTTGCAAATAATTGTTAATTTAATATAATTAAGTCCTGGTAATAGACCTAAAGTAAGCATATTTTCTTTAATCTTATATCATAAGATAAATTATAAATTACACTATAAATTGCTTCACAGCTATATATAAATGATTGGAATAATTAGAACTAATCTAAGTTAATCATTATTAAAATTAGAATCTGCAGTTTTGACAATAAAGAATTTAGGAGAGTTTAGAATATCAAATGAGAAATTTCTTTATCATAAATATCAGACATCAATTCAGCCATTTTTTGATTAGTCTATTTCTTTATAAATTTTCTAAATTCTGATCATTTATATATAACTGCTAACTATACCTTTAAAGATGGTAATGAATATGATAGTTTTATTCTTCAAATATATCCTTTTACTATCAAAACTCTTGTTAATAATTTTATTTCATAAGGTCTTTGTTGATTTTACATAAGATGATTTAGGAATTCAATATGATCACATTTAAATCCAGAAAATATATTATTATTTAGATCATTTGATATAATATATGCAATATTATATAACTTATTACATTTAGGATATATAACATATATCTTAGATTTTTTTTGAATTTCTAATAATTTTTATATTATATATGATGTTAAAGAAAATTTGTTGAATTTTTGTGAATAGATATCTTTTAAGATAAAACTAAAAAAACTAATCAAAGAATTGACTGTAACATCAGATAGTTTAAATCTTTCTTAAAAATTGAATATCTAAGTAAGATCTAATGGATTATTAAAGGTATTGTTAATGTTTAAATTTTCATAATTTAAATTATCAAATTCAAGTTCAACTAGCTTTTCATTAATAAAATTCTTAGCTTTAAATAGTAACTTTCATTATCATTATTCTTATCATTGCTATTATGTTTAATATTTTCTTCATCACTAAATAAGTTAAATGTTTAGTTTAGTTCTTTAACTACAGAAAAATTCTAAGAATTTTTAAATCAATAGTTTCATCTTTTATCTTTTATAACTAGATTTACATTAATTTCTTTATTAGATGCTATTTTATCATCTTCAATTATTAGATTATCCTTATAACTAGATCCTTGAGATGATATTGATTGTCTTTTTTTCTCATATGATTCTTTATTATGCTTTTATTTCTTTCTATCCTTTTTGAAAATGTCATTATTTTTTTGTAGTTGACATTTTTCATTTTTTGTCTCAATTAATTTACTATCACATTTCATACAATTGCATTTGGTTATAAGCATAAGATTTGTCAATTTAGAAGATTTTGATGATAATTTATTTTTCGATTTGTTTGGCATTTTAAAAAATAGAATAATATAGTTAACATTTTAAAGTATAAAAATAATTTAAATAATGATAGCAGTATTTGCAACTTATTTGTTTATATAAAAAGCTTATTACAAGTCAATTCAAATTATATTTATTATATTTTTATTAAAAATAATAATGATTTAATTTATGTTTAAAAAGTAAAAAAGTTTATTAAAGAATATTGCATATTTAAAATAATATAAATATTACTTTAATCCTCTTTATCCTCTTTATCCTCTTTCAAATTTTTAATTTTTATTGTTTAATAATTTAATCATAATACTTAAAAGTAAAAAAAAAAAAATATTCAAAAAGAAGTCGTTCAAAAGACTAATATAGAAAAAGTCATTTAAGAGACTAATATAAAAGTTGTTCAAATAACTAATATAGAAGAAATCTTTCAAGAGATTAATATAAAAGCAGTTCAAAGAAATTATTAGCAAAGAAATGAAAGCTGATCACTAAAGATGATCACTGTATTAAAAAAATGATACAATTGAGTTGCAACTTATGATGCAATTAAATTTTCTTATGGTGCAATTAAGTTGTAATTCAATTAAAATTTGAAAATAATTATGGAGACTATTTTTACTGGTTACAATCATCTTACTCTAAAAATAATAGTAAATATTTTGATAAATACATATATGAAACGAAAAATCAAAAATTATTTTTTAATAAAATATTCATTTATATTCATTTTTTTTATATGTAATGTTATTAAAGGTCTTCATCTTATGAATCTGAGTATGAAAAATTATCTGAAAAACCAATAGATAACAAAAAAAGTAAGTTTTATCATTTTTATATCAAACTAAATATTGATTAATAAAATACTTATTTTTTCTAATTATAGTTATCTCAAAATATCTAAAAATAGAAAAGGGAAAAAGTAGGAAACTTGATTTGAAAGATCATATATCAATATCAGAAAATAATAATAGGGAATCTTTTTCTGTTAATAATTTGAAGCAAGAATAACAAGCTTCAATAAATTATGGGATACTTAGGTAAAATAAGAAATCTAGCTTTAAAGAATTAACTGAAATTCTATTCAGATCATATTATAAATCTCAGTATATAGATAATGATATTAAAAAGAAAGATAAAAGTAATCTAAATTATTAAGATTAGAATAGCAATTTTAATAAAAACAGATATTTGTCTAGAAAATTTAAAGTACTCTAATCGAGAAATGAAAAAGAAAAAGTTTTTGCATTCAACTGATATGTCAAAGTATTTATATGATACTTTAAGATAAGTAATATTTTATTTGTTTTATTTGTCTTATATATTTACTAATAAAAAATTAATGTATTTAGAGATAAGTAACTTATATAATTGATAGGATACTGGTAGAAAACAAATTAGAGTTAAATAAAACTTTTGAACAGTAAATAGATATAGTTAATTAAGTAATTATTCTGATCACTATGAATATATTAAATCAAGATACCTTTCTAATTCTGGAAGGTATAGTATATAATATTATACATAAATTACATTGATATAAGTGTAAGGAATATTTAATGAAATTATGGTCTGAAATGGAATAAGAAACACAAAAGTGATGAAAATACTGAAATTGTTACTAAAATAAGATAATTGATAATTTAAATAATATAAAAATTTACTATTATTAAGTTTTTACTAAGAGAAGAAAAAACAAAAAACTAGATACTTAGAAGGCTAAAAGATATGAATAATCAGTTAGTTATTAAAGTTTTCTGAGCGTGAATTTAATCTTTTAAAAATAGATAATTATTATTATTCTTTAGAAGATAGCAAAACTGACCAGTCTATTTCTTTAGAAAATAAGATTATTATAACTTGAGATTATAGATGATGCTCAGATACTGTGAGTAAATTTTTTTTGTTAATTATTTAATATTTATTAATAAGATATATATTAATCTTTTACTTTTTTAGTGTTATAAATTTTATGTGATTATATTGACGAGATGTTTTATAAAATGATCAAAGTATTATAATACATAATTAGATTTATAATAGATCATATGTACAAAATAAAGACAGTATACCTTTAAATGCACTTAAATGAATTCTTTCTAGCTATAAAAGATCCTTAAAAAGAGAAGTCGATAATGCTGTCTATATCAGAAGATCTAAATTCTTTCCTCATCAACTGATGTAATAAAATACAACAAATTGAAAAAGTTAAATAAACACAAAAAAATAATCAATTTTTTTAATTTGTGAATACATTTATTAATGTATATATATTAATTATAAAATTACTTATCTCTATTAAAAATATAATAATTAATTAATCATGATAGCTTATATATTATATCTATTAAATTAAACTAATAAATAAAATTAAACCTAAATCTGATTAAACATTAATATTAAATATTAATTGATATATGCTATATAATATGATTATATATAATTTATCTAATTATTATTTATTTACTAAATGTAATAAACTTGCATGTTCTGATTATATATTAAATTATTTCATTTAATTATGTAGTATAAGAAAAAAATATATATTGGATTCAAATAAGTCATCTCAGTTTATATGTAATTTAATTTTAAAACTAAATTTTGAGTGATAACTTAATATATGCTGATTCTGTTAAAAATTAATATTAATTAGAATATTAAATATGCTTAAATAAATACAAATTGGATACAAATTTGGCAATAATCAGAATGATAATTGATGTTGAATTTATATCTGATTTGTTTTTGTTTGACTATTGTAAATAAATTACAATATTAAAAATTTATAATATTTTAACATTTATTTTTAAAAAAATCAAAAAGTATAATTTTTTTTTTATAAAATAAATAAGAATAAATCTAATTGTAATATCCTATTACATATCTTATTTGTAATACTCAAAATTTTATTTAATCAAATTTATAATCAGGTGTAATATCAATAATTTAGCAAATTAAAACAAAAGATCAGTTGTGTAATAAAAATAAGAATTATTTTAAAAAATTTTAAAAAACTGTTTGTAACTGCTATAAAACTGTCTTTAATATATTAAGTAAAAGTTTTCTAAAATTAAATTTTGCATTTAAAATTTTTGTTATAAAATATTTAATAAAATAATTTATTATTAAGAATAATAAAAAAGGATGTTACAAATAAAACATGTAACAGGATATTACAAATACATTTTTCTAATAAATAATATAAAAATAATTTGTAAATAAAATATAAATTAATTAATTTATTTTAATTTTATAAATTAAAAATGATTACAATAGTTTGTATTATATAATTTTATTTCTTTTGCTTATGAAATTTAATAATTTTTTTTTTAATTTTTCTAGTGATCAGTCATTTAAGGTATCTAAGGCTGTATCTCATATATCTATATGCTAGTTATACCACAGTTCTAGCCTCTTCTTGCTATTTCTCAAACTGGTTTAAACTACTAATACCACTAGCCTTCATGATAAGCTATGCACTTCAAGCATTGTATGACTTTTTCTAGATGCTATCAGTACTAAGGATTCTGGTTAACTATTGAAAAGAGAAGTCTTTACTAATCTAATTCAGAACAGAATAGCTGTCTGACATAATTAGTATGTCTAGACTTGTCAAAATCACCTTGAGAATTGAACTCAGACCTCTCAAACTTAATTGATTCTATAGACGTTATAGCATTTTAACTAAAAATTACCTGTAACTTATAATTCTTATTTAATTCAAGTTAGACAGTATCTACCATTAATCAGTTATAGCCTGTTATCAGGAATGATCTCCTTGCAAATGATTCAATACTTGCTCATTACAGGCCAGTCTCCTTATATAAGTTCCAAACTCAATTAGTTTTATATGTACGTGATTACTTATGTAGCTATACAGATTCACTATATTCTACAAGTTCATGATTTTTAATATATATAGTTTGTACGCATCCTATAATATTCATTTTCAGAATTGAATTAATAAATCTTGTAGTAAATTAATATCACACTTGGTTAATGCTAAACTAAAATCTATTATACTGTAACTACATTAGAGATTTGTACCTTACGGATTGAGCCAGGGCTGCTAGACCCTTTTATAATAAATTTTAGTATTGAAAGAAAATCTAATTAAAATAGCTATTTTTATATATAATATATATAAATTTAGTATATTAAAACTTTAATTCTATATGTATTATATGTATAAATATTATTATTATAGTTAATTTTAATTAAATTTTCTTAAGTAAAAAATCAGATTTGATTATTAACTTAAATAAATATAAAATTATTATTTTAATATTTGTAATTAATAATTTATAACTTAAAATTAATAGAATAGTTGTATTTTTTTGCTTATCATTTTATAATATATATATATAAATATTAATTATTATATATACTTATTATAAAGGTTAGAATTAATTATTTTTAACTAAATTAATTTACTAGTTTAAATAGTTTAATATATTTATTAGTTAAAATATTTTAACTAATTAAATAGATTAATTTTATTTTAATCAAAATTTAATTTTTAATCAAAATTAAAATTTATATTACCTAACTCTAGCTAAGTTTATTATATCAATTCAAGTTATTTAATTATTAATTTAACTAATTAATTAATATTTTAATTAGTTATTAATTAGACAAAGTTTAATTTCTAACTTATTAAATTAATAATTATAATAATATTTTATTATAGATTTTTATATTATTTATTTTTAATATATTAAAATTATATATAAATAAGATTTCATTAATTTATATATATATAGATTTATTATTAATATTATTAAAAATCTTTTAAATATTAATAACGATAATAAAATATATTAAAATAAATTTATAAAATAAATTTAAAATATTTTATTTAATAATTTTATAAAATTTTATTAATATATATTTTATTATTTATTTATTTTATATAAATTAAATAATAAATATAATTAGAATTCATATTAGTTATTATTAAATATTAATTATTTTTCTTTTTTTAATTTAAAAAACATAATAAAATAAAAATAATAATATATTATTATAAAATTAATTTACTATCTTTTTAATAAAATGATTTAAATTTTAAATAAATTAAACTGATTATTATATATTTAAATTAATTTATTAAAGCCAAGTTTAACAAATAATTTTTAAATTTAAAAATCCTAATAAATTTACAAATTTTAAAAATTTTTAAATATTATTTTCTAATGATAATATAATAATAAATATTTATTAAAAATAATAGAATCTTTATTTTAAAATTTAAAATTAGATTTTTATTATAAATAAGTAATAAAAATTTAAATTTGTTTAAATTATTTAAAATTATTTATTATTTTATTTTTAATTTAAAGTAAATGTATTTAAATATAATTTAATTTAATTAAATAATAAATAAATTTTAAATTGATAATAAAAAAATGGTTTTAATAGAATAATAAATATATTATTTAAAAAAATAGATAAAATTTTTTAAAAATATTAAAAATATTATTTTAAAACTTTCTATAATATAAAAAAATAATTATTTTAAAAGAATTATAAAAGAGATATTTTAATAAAATGATATACTTTTATACTTTTGAAATAATTAAAATTTAATTTAAAGAAATAATAAATCCAGTATATATATTTTATAGAAATATAAGAATTATTTTAATAGAATGATAGAAGTATATTTTATAAAAAGATTTTTTTTTTTTTTTGAAAATATAATAATAAGTATCATTTTAAATAAAAATAACTATAATTTTAATTACTTAATAAATTAACTCAAGATTTATTAATTTATTTAACTTATTGATTAGTTTATTAAGAATTTAAAAAATAATGTTATTTATAATTATTTTCTAATAATTATGGAAAATATTTGAAATAAAATAATAACTTTAAAATATAAAACTTTTAATTATTGAAATTATATATTAATATCTAATAATATATAGTAAATTATATATTTTATAAATAGTAAACTGTTGTGTTAGAAAGTTGAAATTTTTCATATAAAATATTATTTCAAATATCTTTTATTTTACATATAATATTAATTATCATTTTAAATTTTTAATAATTCATAAATGTAAAGTTTTTAATTTATTTTGTTAAAATTTAAATAATAAAAAAAAATATTTATAAAATTGTAATTAATTTAATAATAAAAGAAGTAGCCATTTAAAACATTTGAATTAATCACTTCATTTGGGATTGTTACTAAAGTCATATGCATTTAATATTTTAATAAAAAAAAATTAAATCCTGCCAAATTTATAATGCCGGCATAAACTAAGTAATTCTAAATATATCGATAGTTCTCGTCAATTTCATCAATTGAAGTCTTGCACAGAAAACTCGTGTTACAAGAGATACTCCGGCTCGGAGAACCATTTGTGATCTACAATTTGTTAATCCAAAACCTGATTGCACTGCCTTCATTATTTCCTTGAATTACTATGATAGACATCATATGATCAACAAGTTAACATTTATGGAACTGAACTTACTGCATTATTATAAAAATTTTCTTTTTTTTCTTTTTTTTAAAAAAATGGTCTTCGAATTTTTTTCAAGTTTGTCACAAAATCTTTCTTATTTGCTTGATGAAGCAGATGATTATAATACTATTATTACAGTCGGAGAAAATCCGAATACAAAAGAGTTTCGTGCACATTCTATTATCTTGAGAGCTCGATCACCGTACTTCAAAAGTGCTCTCTCAAAAAATTGGATTTCAGAAAAAAATAATATGATTAACTTTACTAAACCAAATATTTCTCCTACAGTTTTTGAAATGATTATTAGGTAATAAATTCCTTGTTTTCAATGGCCTAAGCCATTTTTTTTTTTTTTAATCTTTGATAAATATATATATATATATATATATATTTTTGATTGTAGATATATGTACGGTGGAATTCTTGACTTGAACAAACAAAATGGCGCAGATATTCTCGACCTTCTTGTAGCATCCGATGAATTACTTATTGATGAATTGATTATTTTTTATACAACAGTATTTAATTGAAAAACAAGTTAATTGGTTGCAGCAAAATTTTTTTAAAGTTCTTCTCATAGCATACCAATCGGAAAGTTGTAAAAAGCTTCTAGAACATTGTTTAGAAATTATCTGTAAAAATCCCGAAACTTTTTTTAACTCCCCAAATTTTTCAACGTTAGACAAAAGCATTCTTCTCAGATTATTTGAAGAGGCTTTGCAAATTGAAGAGGTTGAGTTGTGGAATTATCTTGTCAACTGGGGAATCGCTCAAACATCTGAATTGAATGGAAAGAGGACGACCGATTTAGAAAGTTGGAATGAAACTGATTTCTTGGCTTTGAAAAATACTTTGGATCAATTTATCTCTCACATACGATTCTTTGAAATGTCCTCAATAGAATTTCATAATAGCGTCTGGCCTTTTAGGGAAGTGTTACCTAAGAAACTCTTTGAGAGCATTATCTCATTTCATATGGCAAATATTCAACCGCAAAATATGTTGGCTCCTCGTTACAGTAAAATTGCTGTTTATTCAAATATCATCAAGTCAAAACATGCGACCATCCTTACTAACTGGATTCAAAGAAAAGATGCTAATGCAAGAATTCCAATAGATAATAAATATAAATTTAACCTTATTTATCGTGGAAGTAGAGATGGATATGATAACAATACTATACGTAATAATTGTAGTGGACATGGGGCGTGTATTTTAGTTATTAAAATTAAAGAAAATGAAACGATAATTGGTGGTTATAATCCTATTGGCTGGAATTATAATGGTCACAATCCAAATAATTATTCTCGTGATGGAGGATGGCGGGGAGCGCGTGGCGGACGTGGACGTGTAGGTCATAGATTTAATGTTCGACATGAAAATTATTGGGTTAAAACTTCGGAAAGTTTTATTTTTTCTTTGGGTGATGGAAAATCTTTGAAAAATCCAAAGATTAGTCGAGTTGTAAATCCTAATAATGCAATATATGAATCGAAATTTAATAATATTGCATTGAATTTTGGTAATAGCGATTTGATTATTAATGGTAATGCCGGGACATGCATTCGACAATATTATGATAGTAGCATTTTAGATACAATTAAGTTCAACATAGAAGAAATGGAGATATTTTATCAAAATCAGGATGTTAATTGGTCTGCCGATAGATGGAACGTTCCGATAAACGATAACAATGATTCATTTTGTGTTGCGTCTAACAATGATAACACCGCTTCATGGATAGGACCACAACATAGTTTTTCTCATAGTTTCGGTTTGACGGATGTTTTAAGCAACGCTAACAACGTTCCACGGGGGACTTTTGCTAGTACCTCTAACAACGTTCAATGGGGGCCCGATCCAAGTGCTAACGAAACATGGGTGTCATGGCCAGACGAATTTAACGATGACTCATGGGATTATTCACCTTGAAATGAAATATCATCACTTTTGTCTAGATAGCTTATTCGATCAATAATTTTTTTTTTTAAAAAAAAAAAAAAAAAAAACCTATGTATATAATTTGCCAACACCTTAATCAGAGAATTTCTGGTATAGGAAAGTTGCGCATTACTCTTAAATATTGGCTTTCCGACATCACGTTCAATTGATCCTTTGAACCCAAACGTAGAATTTTGAAGTTATTAAAAGAAAGGATTCAATCATATTTTAAATATAATATCTATCTTGATAGTACTGTATATAATTGAGATCTGATGATTTTTTGAATAAAAGTAAAGATCAAAATTACTTTGTAAAATTGTGGTTCCAATAAAATCTTTTCGATGTGTGAAACATTTACTTACATATACATATATGATTGGCTTCTTTCTTTAAAATCTTTTGTATTCGCGACTATTTGCATCTTAAGTTCTTTACAATTTTCAAGGAATGAAGGTTAATAACCTCCCGCACATGATTTTGAAAGCGGTACCACCACCACACCCTATAAAAAGTATTACGAATAAATCGCGTTTAATTTATTTGTAATTTGTTATTTTATTTTTATTTTTTGATTCCATGCAATAATTGATTTAATGTTGTTATTTCCATCGCATGACAATAAGTTGTAATAAAAAAATCTGACATTCTCATTGACAAATTTATTAAGAATCGTTTTATAAAATCATGGTATTATAATTCTCCTTTATAATCCATTCAGCAGAAAAAGCTTTAATAAAAAATTAAAAAAAGGATAGTTCAAAAATCCACCCGAAAACAGAATTTGTTAATAGAACTACAAGATTTTGCAGAAATCTAATTATATTATACAATTTGGAATAACTTTTGATTGTACAAAATATTGAATGGATGAGCGTACAATACACTACTTTGAACGCAACTACGCGATTCATGTCATGATGTTTTATACATGAATTGAGCTCGCACTTCCTTTCCATATTTCATAAATATACATATTCTTTGGCGTTATGGCGTTGTTTTATATGGCAATTCAATTTTCGAAAGGTATTAATTAAGTTCAGCCAAGTTTCCAACAAAAGACAATGTAATACAAGACGTGATGCGAATCGTATTATCATATTAATCATTGAATTTTGGCAATAGACGCGTGAATTGATCAAAAATAACATTAACCTAGTCAGGAGCTTTATTCGAATCCAAATTATTTACTCTTCTCATATTAAACTATTTCATAGATCTTAACACGAATCAATATATCAATTAATAAAGTATTATTGTATAATTACGCTAAGGACTTCCATCTCTTTAATTTGATAAATTCCAGTTGAATTTAAGTCATTTTCATAATGCTTCGTTTTATGGATTTTTAAAATTTGATAAACTACCCTAAAACTATTTCCAAAATTTAACCCACAATTGCGATACTCATGAAATGCGCAACTAGTTTTCACACAACTAATTCTCATATTTTGTAAATCAAATTCATTATCAAAAGAAAAGTAAAAACTATGTGGTGTGTTATACCATTGGCCTATATCATTATCCTCAAATCCTATTGGATTAAATGCACCAAGTATTTTTGATGAAGAATCAACTTTAATTAAAACTAAACATCTCCCTTGTCCATTACACCTACTTCTAAATGAGTTATTGTCAAGTCCGTCGCGTTTACCGCAAAACAAAAGTTTAAATGTGTACAATTAATCATTCTTACTACGAGTAAAGTTTGCGTCTTTTTTTTCGATCCAATTTGCAATGATAAGAGCTTGTTTGTATTTCATAATATTCGATTCGATTTTAATGATTCCGGCTCGCGGTTGTACATTTGTTGTTGTTGGTAAGGTATTCACAACATAATAATTGGTCATATCTTCATAAATATGTTTGGGAATAACCTCATAAGGAGCGACTTTGTAAAAAAAATCAGCAGGGACATTCTCACAAATCGAATGAGAGGAATAAATTGACTCAACGTATTTTTAAAAGCTTTAAAATTCTCGTCGTTCTATTTCGTTCTATCACCGTTTTCACTTCCCAATCCAGGAGTTTGTTCAATGTCCCATCTTAATAAACATTCCCATATGACGACTTCTTCAATTTGCAAATCATCTCGCGCAAGCAAGCTATAGAGAATGTCTCTATCTAATGATTGAAATTCTTTCAAAGTAATAAGTAATTGCGGGTCTGAACAGATGGATTCAAAACAATAATTTTGTAACTTCTTGAAACTATCAACGTTGAACACAGTATGAAGGACCAGGACCAAATTTTGTTGAACCCAGCTATCTTTTTTTTTAATCATGTAATATTGTACATGTTCTAATAATTCTTCAAGCATTAATTCATCTGATGCAACTAATAATTCAAGAACATCTTCTTCCAATTGCTCGGTTAAATCAAGTTCACCAGTGTAAATATATCTTAAAATACATAGGTTGGTTGTTTTTTGTTTTATTTTTTTTTTATAAAAAAAAAAAAAATTTACAGAGATAACCGTCTCAAAATAAATTTATAAATAAATCTTACTTTAAAATCATGTCAAAAACAATAGGAGTGATATTTGGTTTTTTAAAAATGATCATATTATTCTTCTTTGTAATCCAATTCGACGAAAAGGCGCTTTTGAAATATGGAGAACGTGCTCTTAAAATAACTGAATGTGTATAAAATTCTTTTACATTTTGATCTTCACCAACTTGAATGAAAACGTTAAAATCATCAGCATCCTTCAAAATTAGAGAAAGATCCTTTAAAAGATTAGAATGAAAGATTGAAGTCATTTTTTTTTAACAAAAAAAAAAAAAAAATAGTTTGAAATTTTTGATTGTTAAAATTTTTATAATAAGGTTACATAATATGACATAATATGGATGTTGATCATAATAAATTAGGTTTGGTTGTTGCTTGGCTTGGGGAAAAAAAAAAAAACTTTTTCTCAATTAAATTTAAAAAAAAAAAAAAAATAATAAACGAAAGATGACTTTTAAAGGTTTTAATGAATTGTCACAAAATTTTTTAGAGATGCATAAAGATGCAGATGATTATAATGTGATTATCAAAGTTGGAAAGAGTCCGAATATAAAAGAATTTCGTGCTCATTCGAATATCTTAAAAGCACGATCACCTTACTTTAAAAGAGCTTTTTCACAGAACTGGATTAAAATACAAAATAATATGATCCACTTTGATAAACCGAATATCTCTCCTACTGTCTTTGAAATGATTCTTAGGTAATCAACTTGGGGCGTGTTAATTATTCAAAAATTCATGTTATTTTTAGACAACGTATAAATATTGATAGGATATGTTAACTCTTCATTATCATTATTTTTTTTCGAATTCCTTATTCATTTTTTAGATATTTGTATACCGGCATTCTTGATTTTAAAAATCAAACCGGATCGGATATTTTTGATCTACTTGTAGCATCTGATGAATTACTTATTGAGGAAACGGTTATCTTTGTACAAAAGTATTTAATTGAAAACCGAATTGAATGGTACCATACAAATTTTAACAAGGTTCTTCAAACGGTATTCCAATATGAAAGTTGCAAGCAATTCCAAGAATATTGTTTAGATTCGATTTGTGAAAATCCTGAACCTTTTTTTAATTCGCAAAATTTTCCAAAGTTAGAAAAAAGTATATTACTTGGATTATTTAAGAGGGAAGATTTGCAAATTGAAGAGGCTGAGTTGTGGAATTATCTTGTCAAATGGGGAATCGCTCAAACATCGGAATTGAATGGAAAGAGGACGACAGATTTAGAAAGTTGGAATGAAACTGATTTCTTGGCTTTGAAAAATACTTTGGATCAATTTATCTCTCACATACGATTCTTTGAAATGTCCTCAATAGATTTTCATAATAACGTCTGGCCTTTTAGGGAAGTGTTACCTAAGAAACTCTTTGAGAGCATTATCTCATTTCATATGTCAAAAACTCAACCCAGGCAACATAAGTTTCCTCGTCATAGAAAAATTGCTATCGATTCAACAATCATCAAATCAAAGCATGCGACCATCCTTGCTAACTGGATTCAAAGGAAAGATGCCATCGCAAAAATTCCAAAGGGTGAAGATTACTTTAGACTTATTTATCGTGGAAGTAGAGATGGATATGATTTCGATATAATACGTAACAAATGTATTCTTCAGGGAGCTTATATTTTACTTATCAAGGTTAAAGAGAATGGGTCCATAATCGGAGGTTATAATCCACTCGGCTGGAATTTCAATCAAAATCAAAATTGGGTTTTCACCTGTGATAGTTTTATTTTTTCTTTAGGTGATGGAAAGTATTTTCAAGATTTTAAGCTTTGTCGAGTTACAGATAGCAGTAAGGCAATTTGTAACAACGCTTTGAAATTTGGTAATAGCGATTTGGTTGTTAATGTTAATAGAGGTACATGTAATCAACAATCTTATCAAGGCAGCATTTTAGATATAAATGCATTTACCATCGAAGAAATGGAGATCTTTGCTTATATGTCCCCGTTAAAACAAATAATTATTCTGGTTTGGTTTGTTTTACTAGCATTTCTATTTTATTTGTTTGTTTTCTAATATTTATATTTGATATTATAAAGAGAAGGTCAAGATACAGTATTATAAAATATCAACGTTGGCAACTTTTGTAAGTCCAATTATTTGGATTTTTGTGTCTTTATAGCCGTATTAAACACCCCAAAAAAACTTCGGTTGATATTATCGAATATGTTATTATATTTCTCCGATTTTGTATAATAATTAATAAATAAACGTATTTGAATGTTACCAATGTTACCCAAATGAATTATTTTTTGTTTCTCAATTACTAGTGAGATAATTATATATGCTATCGTTCCGGTAAGATAAATTCTCTGTAAAAAATGTAAAAAAGTTTTTCTCTGTCTCAACGTTGCTTTGTAAAAGTCTAGAAGCCCAATTTTTACGTCATTTCATTATGGTGTATAAGTTAACCTAAGCGAGAAAAGATGCCAGTACTTTCATTATTATTAAATTTGTAATATAATCAAAAGTAATGTTACGATTCATTACTTTTGACGTTCCCAAGATACTCATTAATTCAAGATAACAAATCATTGTCTTCGGATCAAGAAGAATATAATGATATTTCATAAACGGTTCAAAAGCAATCAAATAAAAATAATAAGAATATAATGATAACCACACTACTACTCTGCCAAAACAGAGAATGGAAAACGAAGAACCAACAAGGGTAATTAAGGATTTACGAAAACAAATGAAACGTGCAGTTCGTGAGTTTCGTGAGTGGATTCATCGAAAGGAATACTCCTATGCCAGAATCTTCCGAAGTTCAAGCCAAACTTTTTATTATTTACCACAATAAATAGTTTTTACGCGCAATGATACTAAAATACTTAGCTTTGTGAAAAAATTTACGAATCTTACCAGGATATTTCGTATGAATGAATGACTCATGACACAATTTTAGAGATTGATTGAATTATTTAAAGACATAATGAACTTAGATTTTATTCGAGGAACAATTTAAAGCTGGATAAAGTATCGGGGGCAATTTTTTTTTTTTGTGGTTAAGGCCTTCTTCTTATTGCTCTATCGATTATATGTTCGTTATACCATTAGTAAATGCTCTTAGCTAACGCCGAAGTTTCGATTGAATGGTCAGAGTTATAAGAAATTTCAGTTTTATATTTTTTTTTAATTAAGATTATCTTTTCAGAATGAAATATAAGATACATATATCGTATGATAAAGCTTTGGTTTGTATAACGAACTATATCATGAATTATTAAAGATTAATAAATTGTTAGATTAATTCAAATGGGAAATAGATTGCATAAATATTTTTAATAAAACGAGTGAGATTTGTTAAAATTTTTATATTTGTACAAGTTTAATTTTTTTATGTTCTATTTTAAAATTGAAAAGGAACGCTAACTATCGTTGTTCTTATTTTATTTCTTTCGGAGAACATATTCATCTTTCAACATAAAATGCTCATTATAATATTAATCAATTTATTTAAATAAATATTATTTTTTTCAAATTCATTTCCAAAGTGGTAATTATTCATTTATTGCATTATTTATTCTAATTCATAAATTTTATTAAAAATAAATATTTAAAACCTACAATAAGAATAAAAAAATTTTTTTGTCAACAAATACCTTCTCATTTTGAACCTTTATAAATTATTATATTTAAATTTATTCATCTTTTTCATGTTTGCATTCAAGCTTAGGAACTTTTAAAAAGGTATTATTAAATAAATTAAACAATTCTTAAATATGCCATCTTCTATATAATTGTAATTGAAATAAAAGAATGTATTATTAAGTAAAAAAATGATTCCATATCATTAATTTAAATGAACAAATTAATAGAACTTTGGAAGTGAAGCGAATCAAGAATACATTTAAAAATACGTTTAATAGATTTAAAACACATAAACCTTTCAAACTAACTCTCTGGAATATTATTGTTGCAGATTTTCAAGTCAAATGCTGATAAATTTCAGATAAACATCGTGAACGATTATTTGGAACCGAAGAAGAGACTGTCGAAAGTAGATTAATCGTGAAAAAATAACTTAATGTTCCGGAAATTACGAGCATATACATATGATATCGTTCGTATACCTTAAAGAATCTCAAATGCCCATTACAAGATAAATGCATTTACACAGTTAACTTTTATGTAACATTCCATCAAGGAAGAATACTTACGAACGTATAGTTATGAATCCGTCATTTGTAAAACAAATTTTTATATGGTCTAAAAACTTTATACTGATGATATTGAGAGAATTTGAAGAATTCATTCAAAAAGTTGAAAATTTTGTTATATATTTCATGGTAACACCAAAATCGATTCTTCATCTTCCTATTGGTGGATTGCGTCAAAAAATTTGATGACAAATATTATACACGACATAGAGAAGAAATCGTTAAAACTCCTTTTGATGAACCGACCACTCCCGACAGGCTGATCCGATAACACCGATAGAAGTATTATAGAACACCTTTCTAATTAAACCCAACTCATAAAAACAAAATAAAATTTTTAAAATTAAAAAATTTTTATTTTAATATTGCCATTGTCGAAACTTTTGCCACCCGTCGTAACTTTTGTCAACTGTCGAAACTTTTTCCACCAATCGAAACTTTCACAATTTTGCCTTTAATAAAAAATTTGGCAAAACGTTTCGATGGGTTTCGATTTCGATGCCTGTCGAAACCTCGGGGGTTTGCCCGGCAACCTTAGTTACAAGGTTCATTCGTTTCGAATATTTTTTTTTTTTTATTTTTTGGAATTTTTTTTTATATAGTTTAATGTTATTCGGTTTTTCGTTTTGTTAACTGGTAGATGATTTATTTTTTAGTATGATAGGTATGTTTTTCTATTTTTCCTCGTTTTATTGATGATTAACTTGATCTTTTGTCGTCTATATAAATTACTGAGTTAATTTTTCTTTATACGCTCCGAATCTAAAAAACTCGGTCATTTTAATGCTAAAAGATCGCTAATTAATAGTTACGTTAGTTTCAAATGGAATAATTATACTTCATGGACCAGTTGCTCGATACTGGTGGTTTATTCCGTCAATAGAAACTATATAAATAGGTGCTCAAATAATGTACGCGTTGGAATTTAAACTCAAGTAGAACTAAACGGTAAAATTTTATTTTATGTGTGTTGAAGGAAACATGATCGATACAAGTAATCCAGGATATACATAGCAGTATAAATGTTTGCTAGTAATGTTGAAGAATCTTCAAAAAAAAGCAATATCTTCGTTATATCAAAAAAATTTTCAAAAGTAACAAATATATCATTAATTGAATAATTAATGAATTTATATGACTTAAAAATGAGCTAACAATATTTATAAATAGGTCCGGCAGTTTTATCACCATGTCGATCATTTTACAAATCGAAATTTTATATTAGGCATTAATTATATTCAAGTTTTGGTAGAATATGGCCGTTCTCAAGCGCATCCCTCAATGTGATTGGCCAATGATTGAAGTGATGCTCAAGTATCACGATCAATTGAAATAAATATGGTGATAGGGATGGGGACGGTTCTATCGGTTCCATTTCGGTTCCTCTTCGGTTCTACTTCGACTCTTCTTAAGTAAATTAAACTTTGAGCGTTAAGTTAAATTTATACTAAATAGAACATCATGTGATGATCAATTTAAAAAAATTTTTGACTATTATTATTACCTTTAATTTGATGACAATCCGATTTTGAGCCGATTCTTGGAACCGGTCCGGAATCGGTTTCGGTTCGATTTTTAAAATTGGTTAAAAATGGTTTGTAACTCAGGAAAACCCAGAATATGCTGAATTTATAATCGACTCGGAGTCGCTCTTTTCGAACCGTCTCCATTCCTATGTGTACTGCGTAAATTATGCAAATTATCGATTTATCAATTGCTTAATACATATATGCATTTTTATTTATGTAAACTAAAATGGAGTTGTTTGTTCTCTAATTGCTTGTCTATTCAAGGAGTAAACTTATTTTATTACCTGCTTATTTTAATTGTGAAAATATATTCTTTTAACGAAAAGGGCCGGCGTCAGCTAAACTAATGAATTTTTTGTAAGAAATCAAACCTTTCCTATTCGGCAAGAATATCGTACTGCGCATTTCAGGTGATCGACCGCTTATACTAACACGAAATTTATGCTTTACCGGAGATATAGACGAGGAAAATTTAAATCGAAAAAAAAAAAGAGAAACAAGCAAGTGTGTAAAATATACTGCATGTACCATTCTTAATTTTTTTTTTTAAAAAAAAATTCAAATTTTCATTTTTTTAGCAAATCCTCGGCTTCTCTCCTCAAAGATTCCTTCCCATAAACGATTGAATCAAGTCTTAAATATAATTGGTTGCTTGAAGGTCACGGCAAATATTTATCATGCCAATCTGTGCAGTAACTTTTGCCATTGACGTACATTTATACCTACGGAGCATAATCAAGAATTGATGATGGTATCGAGCGTTCAACGGAGTTTTGTAACGTTATCCTGAACCAGCAACACTTTTCTGATTGTTATTTTTGACACTGGTTTCATTCCGAAGTTCATTGATGGATTTAAAAGCTCTTTTGTCCTCGCGTCAGATATTGATTGGGGAATCAACTCTATATTAAAACATCTAGGCGGATCGTTGCTAAGGCTGAGGATAATCCGGGTAATTGATTTTGATGATAAACGTATTGTAATTTCATTTGGGACTTACTAAACAACTATTAAGAGGTTTTTTGGTATACCAATGTTATGCTTAGTGATCAATAATAATCATGAATCAATAAACAACCCCCCCAAAAAAATGATAAAATTTTTTACACTTGTTCGATGGCATGGTCAGAAATTATATATTTTTTCAACCCCTATATTAAAACTTAACAAATTTAAAGATATTTCGATTGAACATAAATGTTACTAGTTCACAAAGTTCGAAAATTTTATTGTATATAAAAAAAAAATAATATAAAAGCAAATGATATAGCAATCATTTTTACCTAAACTAAATATATATAATTAAGCAATCTAGTATTTCTCAATCGCATAACATTATTAAAATGAATTTTTTGATGAAAATTTAGAAGTACTATATATTTCTCTTTCCTTATATAGGTCCAAAGTTTCCAAAGTGCACAAATCCTTCTTTGTTTATTGAAAATTTCGTAGAATCTTCCAACCACATGTCACGACAATAAACACAAGTAACCTAGATAAAAGATAGATCATATGAATAAATAAAATACCAGTACTAATATTAGTTCAATATAGGAGTGTTGCTTACAATTCCACTTCTTGTTCTCTTCCATTGATCGTAGCAGGCTTTGTGAAGGTTGTTGCCGCATCCTTTTTGACACCAGACGATATTATCGTCATTTTCATCAAACTTTTCATAACTATTATTATATTATTGAATTAAAAAACGTCAAATAGCCTGCTTCTATTCCAAGAGATAATCTCAAAAAGTATAATAATAATATACCAGATAGCGCAATCTCCTCCTTCAATCGGCCGGCGTTTTTGACAAGCTGCTCCTGTAATGTACGCTCTATATCGTCTACGAATTCTATAGCTAGCCTATTAAATAAGATGTTTAATTAAACGTTAATTTAATAATCTTAAAAAACATTTAATCACAAGGTTACCTTACCATTACTCTTGGATCGAGCATTCTCCTTGTTTTTGCAAAGATTACATGAAGTTCTTTAGTTAAATGCGCAATTTGAAATATGTCTTTGCTGTCTCGTGGCAAGCTCAAAATTTTAAGGTAAACAAAAAGCTAAAGTTATAAAATGTTGAAGTATTAGTAAGTTTTTAAAAAGATAAAACTCATTCATGCTTCTTCTAAATTATATGTACAATATGTTTACAAGGTTTGAAGGTTTTGAAGTCTATGCAAGTGCAATTTGGCACATGTGAAATTACAACAGTATAAACCTGGTAATAAAAATTCAATAGAGGTTAATCGATAAAACAGATGATCCTTTTGAAAAAAATTTCATAATAAACCTTACGATGCCAGTTGGCCCCATGATAATGAAGTTTTGTTGAAATTGACTAACTATAGTGCGGGAAATCAAGTACATTTTTTGTGTTTCAGCGCGTTCAATGCGTATTTGAATTTTCTGTAAAGATAAAACAATAAAATTAGAACCAATGATATTAAATATATTAACTATTTAAATTGCTCACTTTTGAACAGATCGTTTTAATACGAGCTTTGCGTTTCTCTTTAGCTTTCCCATTTTTCCCAAACTTCTTGGGTTTTTTTTTTTTTTTTACCCGTTTGGCTTCCAGATCATCGTTTTCAGCATCAACCTTTCTCTTTTTTCCACTGCTTATAGGAGCTTCTCCTGTATCAGTTCTAGCAGGAACTTCATTAGTTTCTAACTGTATTAATAACACTTGATTTAAGCGCCCAGGATTTTCTCGCAATATCCTGTCATTTATTCTTTGATTGTTATCCGATGCTTGATCTGCTGAGATATTATTTTCTACGACTACTGATTGTCTAGGAACACGCTCCGGACTAGTTGTTACATTAATAGTTTCAGGTTCAGGCTGCTCTTCTGTTGAGATTATATAAGGCTCAGCAGACATGTCCTCAACTCTATTTTCTTCCGCAGGTTGCTCGTTTACTTGTGCAGCATGTTCAACCTGTTGGATATTTTCGAATCTTACTGAAGCATTTGTCGGTTTTCGTCCACGTCTAGAACGAGTCACCGTCGGTAATTGTTGAATATTATTATTAGGTTGAGAACGTGAGGCACGTGTCATAGAACGGGTAATAGGTCTATGTCCTCCTGTATTCATTTTGTTGTCGTTTTTGCCACGAAAAGCTAAAAGTGTTTTTCTTAAATGTAGAAAGAAAAGGAAAAGTCGCGTAAAAGACTTGGAAAATGATCCAACTTTTTATATCGCGATTACTGAATTTCTGATTGGTTGATCAGACTTTTAATTGTCGATCTTCAAATTCTAGTATTTTTTTTTTAGGTTGGCCAAGCTAATTTTACAGAATCTCTTACGTCGTCGCTTTTTAAGTTAACATTCCATTATTTAAGTAGTGAAAGTAGAATTCATGATTTTACGCGTGATCAATATAAAATATATGTTTGCATTTTAAAATACTGCACAATTATGGGTCGGGTTTAAGGTGAAAAACTTGTTACCCAATGAACTATTTATTTCTTATTAAAATTACTCGATTTAATAGTAAATGAAAAAGAAATAACAATTAAAATAGTTTTAAATAAAGGATTAATAATGTTGCGAAAATGGTGAATAAAAGTGAAGACTATTATTGATTAAACGTTTCGTTGCATAACTTCTATTCTTCCTTTAATTCTTCATTCAACTCTTATTTTTCTATAAATCTTTTTACCGCTTCCATTTCAGATTTATAATTCTTATTCATGAGCATCTGTTGCTACATCATTTGTTTTCTCCCTTGCAATCAATAAAAAATGAAGATTTTTGTTTTATTATTATTAAAATACAACAAAATTTAAAAGAACCAAATCATGTCGCTTCATGTAAATATTTGTCTAACATCTGCGAATTGCAGTATCATTTTAAATCGCAGAATATATTATAGTTCATTTGCCTGAGAATAAATACAAAAAAAAAAAAAATAAAATAAATATTATTGATTTTTTTGATGGAAAAAAAAAAAATCAAATCATTTTTAATTTAATAATTATTCTTACCAGTAAATTTTTTTTTATTTTATTTTGGTGAGGTGATCGTTTTAATTCCCATTTATAATATTTAAATATAACAATACCTTTAAAATAATTACCCTTCCGTCAATTTCTTTAAGATTTAAAGCAATATCAATATTGTTTCAATTATTCAACGCACTACTAGTTCATGAGAGAGAAGATATCACTTTTTTAAATTTTAAGGAATGTTCGTGCTGAGATTTCAAATTTGCGTCATAAGATTCTTCGATTACTACTTTTATTAAATATATGTAATAGTTTAGTATAATCAATTTGCAATCAGTTCAGTTAATTTTAAACTCCTTTTTTACCTACAATAATGCCTTGAATTTCATCTTTTTGTTTCTTAAAGTAATGTAGAACAAAAAAAGAGAAATTTGCAAAAGTGTGGGTTTTTTAAAAAATTTTTTTTTATATAATTGGATTTCACACCGACACGTGATCAATTTTACCGATCATATCTAAAAAAAATATTTTTAGAAATCTATCTATTAATATAAAAAATTTGCGTGTAACGGTCACGTTTAGAATACATGTATAAATAATAACGATTAAATTGTGACACGTTACTCAAATTTCCAACTCCTTAAGAAATAAGTTACTTTTTGGAAATTTGTGTAATGTCACATGAATTACTACTGCTAATAACTTATATTTAAAACCATTCAATCTGTATCAAATTCTTCTCAAGTTTTACAAAATATATAAAAAGTATTAAATTATATGAATAAAATCTTTTTATTAGTTAATTTAAATTAATTATTATATAAAAGTTTAAATTTAATCAAATTTGTATTTTAATTTTTTTTTAAATTATACTTTTATATTTATTAATAAAAAAGATTTATATAAACTAAAAAAGAAAATTATATTAACATATATAATATTAAGAAAAACATTTAATTTTCTTCTATATATTAAATATAATTTTAAAATAAAAATATATTAAATTTAATATTATAATATTAATTTATTTTTTATTTATTTCTTAGTAATTTTTATTTTTTATTATTAAAATTTTATATAAAAATATATTGATTTATAATATAATATAAAAATAAAAATTTTTTATTTTTATTTAAGTTTAATTTTAAGAAATTTAACTGAAATTTTAATTTATTTTTTTAAGTAAAGTTATTTTTAATCAATTTTAATTATATAAATGTTTTGCAATAAAAGAGAAAAAATTTTTTATGAGTTAATATTAAATCTGATTTTATTTTACTAAAAAATAATATTTTTTATAAAGTAAAAAAAATTATTTTAGTAGTTTTCTTTTTTATTGCAAAGTATCTATATACATTACTTTCAAAAAATATCTAGTTAAGCTTTTCTTAAATTACTCAAGATTAGATATAATAACTAGCTATTTTTTTTTTTTTAAATAAATCTTCTAATTTTGATAATAATATACATATGTTTATATTTGTATAACAATATATAAATCAGTTTTAATAAACAAAAATATAAACATTTCTTTTTTTTAAATTACACCATTTAATATAGAAAAAATTGCAAATTAAATAAGTTTAAACATGAAAAAATAATCTCATTTTTTTAAAAATTAAACAAAGTTCCACTGGTCGAAATCAAAAAAATCGGATATGTAAAATCAGCCTAAAATCAGCTTAAATTAGCCTAAAATCGGTCTAAAATTGGCAAATTATCAAAAATCAGCCTAGCTGATTGGTATACATCAGAAATCGGCCAAGAATCAGCCAAAATTCGACCTATCTTATTTATAGCCAATTGGTATACTTATAGCCAATTGGTATATATCAAAATTTGACTTATCTTATTTATAACTAATTGATGTCTGATTAGAATGGTTACACTGTTCCTTAGGGATGATGGTATTATCATTCTAAGGTATAATGCATTTATCGTTCCTTAGGAATAATAGTATTATTGTTTTTAAGATACAATGCATTTATCATTCCTTAGAGATGATGGTATTATCATTCCTAAGGTACGATGGTATTATTATTTCTTAAAATGATAGTATTATCGTACCTAAGGAATGATAGTTTTATCGTTCTTAAGGTACGATAGTATTATCGTTCCTTAGGAATGGTTTTATCATTCCTTAGAGACGATGGTATTATCGTTTCTAAAGTACAATGCATTTATCGTTCTTTAGAGATGATGGTATTATCATTCCTAAGATATGATGCATTTATTATTTCTTAAGGACGATGGTATTATCGTATCTAAGGAATGATAATTTTATCATTCCTTAGGTACGATACATTATCGTTTCTTAGGAACAATGGTATTATCATACCTAAGGAATGATGATTTTATCATTTCTTAGGTATGATGCATTTATCGTTCCTTAGGTACAATGCATTTATCGTTTCTAAGACACGATAGTTTTATCGTTCTTTAGAGATAATGGTATTATCGTTCCTTAGGGATGATAGTATTATCATTTATCGTTCTTAAGAACCAAATTTTTAGATTTAACTGATTGCTAAAATAATATTAATTTAATGTGTACTATTTGAATTTATTTCTGGTATATAGGAATATTTAT